GCAGCCTTCTCGTCACGCGTACGCGGCTCTTCTGATGGAACAGGGTCATCTGGAGGAAGCAGCGCAGGTGTATCGTGCCGATCTGGGACTGGACAACACACTTGTTCGTCAGTGCCGTCATCCTAACAACGTCTGGTCGCTGCAGGGGTATCATGAATGCTTGGTGAGACTGGGGAAGCTGGATGAGGCAGCAATGATTGAGCAGTCGGTTAAATTGGCTCTTGCGGTGGCGGATGTCCCCATCAAGGCCTCGTGTTTCTGCAGGCTGGATACTTCCCAGGCGCCGCAGGTTCTCGAAGGGTGTTGCTCTAAGGAGTGATTTGAGTTTCATTTGCAATGTGGATGATTTTTCATGGGTTATTATGTATATGACTGCGCAGGATTTGACATATCCAGAATGAGCGGTGTAATTCTGTGAAATACCATTTTGTCCTTTATACCACCTGCAAATTAACCTTTCCGTACTCCAATCCCGTCCATGATAAAAAAAAGCAATTCGCTAGAATCCAGGACAGTCAAACGCCACCCTATACCAAGTGCACTGAAAGTCATCGCCCTTCTCGCAGTCATCCCAAACACCTCCCGAGGGCATGCTATACCCATACAAGCCATCACTGTACGCAATCTCATATTTGAGGTAGCAAGATGGATAACCAAAAACGTTCTCAATGTCCAGAGTATACGGCAGCTGCGAGGTCATGGCGTCGCCCTGGGTGAAGTTCTCCACATGGCCGATGATGTTGCATGCGTGATCGAAGAGGTAGGCGGAATTCATCGTTTGGTGGTAGCAATCGATACCAGGATATAATTGGTATACGCCGAATTGGCAGCTGCCTTTGCCTTGGGGTTGGCAGAGCTTAGCACCGGAGGGAATGTCGTCGCTATCGGAGGCGTGGGTGAGCGAAGGGACGAGGGAGAGGAGGAGGGTCGGGATGAGTTGGAGTGGCTTCATATTGGCTGTGTCTGCCTATTGTGGGCGATTGTTTGATTTGTTTGATAAGAAGATTCAATTGAGGTGGATTCTAGGGTATCTTGTTCAATTCATGTAGAGAGCGTACCTGGAGATCAAGACAGAAAGTGTGCCCCTGCCGCAACTTATAGACTTTTCTCCGTGCTTACGGGGGCAGCTAACCTCGAATGCTACTACAGGATCAGGCACCGCCCCGGGTTGTATGGAGATCGGCAGGCCTAGCCAGGAACTGGGGCCAAAGGGGCCAAGGAAGGGGGCCAAACGTGTGGAGGAAGCGGGTCAACTAGTGCCTGTTAGGGCAATAATATTGCGACGTGCTGAACATGATCATATCTTCGGTGCATGGTGTCGGGAGCTTATCTTAGTCTGGGGTGATGTGTAGAATGGGGCTCTCCACAATGTGTAGCTAACAACTCTCAGTGGCTGGGTCGAGATCGGTACCTTCGGTATGATGGTACTGGGGCCCAGGTCAGACACAATTTTTGGGAAGGCCAGAATTCATGAAGTTTCAGCATCATATATACAATTGAACTGACATTGAAGCAATCGGAAAGAAGAACGGCCACGCCTCGAAGCAACAACCATTCAGTCAGCAAGTCAAATCAATTTAGAAGAATTGGCCCCACACGAGGCTGTACTCTGCCGGACTTGCCCGACGGTCAGAGCGTAGTGATCTAGATAATTGAAAGTACGGTTGGTCTGTCTCTCATTCTGTGTATGGCTATGAAATTGGGGTCTAGCACTTCGTGTTGCCTACATGGATGGTCGGCGCCATGCCTGAGAAGGGGACGGCGGCGTTCACGGAAAACATTTCCGTTCGGATCGTTGGACCTAGTCGGCCAATAACTTACCTGTGGGTGTGTTTGTTAAAGTTTAAATTAGAAACAAATCAAGAGAGCACGCGCAGACGGTATATAAAAAGCAAAAAGACAAACCAAGCACACACGCCAATTGATGGCGCTGCTGGGAATCGAACCCAGGTCGAAACGGCGCTGCGGAGAACCACAACGTTTCATGATGACCACTACACTACAGCACCTTGATCTGTGACAGGCGGCCGCTTTTTTTACATTACCAGCGACATCATACCCGCAACCACTAAGGTCTCAGTATTTACTTAGACAGTCCCCTTCATGGTTATGAAGCTGGAGAAAAGTACGCGGAAAGAGTAAATTCTAATTCGCTCCCAAAGCAGCCCAATAATAGGGTACCCACAAGGCCTGGCCAGCGCCTCACCCCCCCTCCCTTGGGCACTACCATTGCTTGAGATGGAAAAGCCTGACAACTCTGTGTTTTCAGGAAGACTACATCCGGTGGCATATCTGTTACGCCTGACAGAAGTTGGCCTCATCGTGATGTCTCAGAGTTAGTGTCTGTTCATCTTTTATGCTATGGTTTACTGGAAAAGGCTAATTATTTGTACACTTAGGTCAGACCGTATTAACCACCTGATATTGGCTTCCTTGTATTTCTTCTACAAGAGACCCTTCAATCCGCTTGACTTTCCGTCCCTCCCACCATGACATTACTCCAGCTAAAAGGGAGCTGAAACAACCCAGGCCAATGAAAAGTCCGACTCCGTAACTTGGGCGATTATGCCGGTTGTAGCACCACATGAATGCCGCCATGCCGACTTGGAACAAAGTGTTCAATAGCATGTTGATGATGACGAAGTCCATTTTCCATTCGCTGGTAGGTGGCGCAACCTTACCGGTCAGGGTCGTTTGCAAGGTCAATTCATCAGAGTCGGAAGACTGTAGTCTGAACCAGCTCGCGTTTCGCTTTGCGAGTTTCTCTATCGACTTTCTCGATTTCACGCCGTCACACAGGCGCCACTGGAGTAGCCAATATGTATCGCGAATTCGCCATGGTGCCAGACCCCACGAGGTCAAGCAGAACAAGCCATTCAGGATCTGAGAATCTATTTCAATCCAAACCTCTTTCTGCTCCTTGGTCATGGATCCGACATTCAATAAGAGAAAGAATAGCATGGCGCCCCAGGCAATTACGTTAAGACCGTAAACAGTTATGAAGAAGCCCGTGGGTGTGCAGAGGAATTCCCACGTCACAAGCGGCAATCTTTTGCATGTGTCGCGCCACGAAACAGCTCCCACAGAGAGATCTGAATAGTGGTCGCGATCTGGCTGAGCCCCAAGGGGGAGCACTGGGTCCTCTTCTTCCCAGCGGCCAGGACCGATAGCGGGGGCTGTCGCTCTTCGGGAGATAGGGCGGTCAATCGCAGGTTGAGTGTTGCTTCGACGTACAGTGCGAGCGTGGAAATCAAATGCCACCTCGTCAGACGATCTCAGATCGGCGAAATTTGGGGCGTGTGCGATAGCAGTCCCTGTGGCTTGCCATACCCCCGCCGCGGGATTAAAATCAAGCAGCCTCGCGGCGGAAGAAATAGAGGCGGAGCGCAAAGTGCGTCCTGCCTGAAACAGAGGCATTGTTGACCGGCCTTGCCTGTCCACTGCAGCCGAATGATCATCGGTCATTCTACCCAGTTTTGATTGCTGGGATAGTTGTGAAGTAGATGAGGTGGTCATTTGGACAGAACCCAACAATTTAGTAGTCAAAACATATCACACAACACCCAAAAAAACCAAAGGCTGTGGTTAGACAGCGGGGATTCATATAAAGAGCAGGGCTAGTGGCACTTCACAGTGGCAATTCACTCAGCAATCGAGTGTCACAAACACGGCAATCATACCCACCTACCATACAGGGTAGGGGGTAGATAAAGGGTCTTGTTATACGTACCCTTCAATGCGTTGTTCGTATATTCGTATCCTCTTAGATAACTAAATATAGACTAGCTCTAACTATCAGGCTAGGCTATATCGGGTATAGTGCCAATCTCTCTCCTACATGAGTATTCTTTTTGTCACATATGTACAGACACGTAGGTTTTTTTTTTTTTTTTCCCTATCATTCTACCTCTTTCAGATTTGCCCAGGAATCTTTTCCAAAGCTTTTTCTAAATGTTTTTTTTTAAAAGCCCTATTCCCGGTAGATGCCTCCATATGGATTTAATAAGGTATTAGTAAGATGAAATGTCCGGATGATCTCAGAGAGATGTTTTGGAGAAGAGCTTCTTCGAAAAATGTCAAAGGGGCTTTATTTAGAGGATTTTAGTAGAGGGAAAAATTTCCCAGTCACAGCGTAAATTCGCCGGTCAACCTTGGCCGCTGCCGCTGTCTCGTTCCTCGGGTCGTGGCTTTGGCGCAAGTCGTAGACCTCGACCTACATACACCATGCAAGCAAGAGTGGACGGACACATCAGTGAGACGAGACCAGTGAAGCTCAACATAATATAATGCCATAGAAATGGCAAAAACATACAACAGAAGGGATTCGCTGGTGGTCACCCACCCAACTACTAACCTCCCGGCGTGTGGCTTAAGTACGGCTGAGCGGACGGGAAGCCCTGTTTTCCACACCCTGTGGTCGTATGTACTTGATACATGTTACAATTGAATTATAACATGTAAGGAATGAACACCGAATACTTTTTTTCCTGGTGGTTACAATTTTAGGAAAGTAATGAGTATGTGTGATCACGTATTGGTGTGAGGCATGATCAGAGTATAGTATACCAAATCCCTCCATACAGGCTGATCATCATCTTTCGCATAAGTAATGCTTGACTAGCAAAACAGGAAGTTGTGTTGGCCCTTTGCGGGAAGCAGGGACATGTATATATATTCGACAATATATCCACGGGTCCATTCTGCAAACCATCCACTTTAGTAATGGAGGTAGTCCCGTCATGGCAGTAACCCCGCGTGTGCATGGCGTTCCAAGGGAGCATTTGGCAAGAAGTTGTGCTCTTGGCAACCCCTGTCCTGTTCATACCCGTCACTGACACTATTGCAGCTGCACCACACGGTCGTCTGCATGAGACATTTGAGACTTATGCCCACGGTCTTTATGAGCAACCTCCGAAAGGCTTATTGGTGATTTCAATGGCCAATTATGCACATGAAACAGTGCTTCTCAGCTACTGCTATTTTCCAAGCGATACGTTCCCCTAGGGGACATTAGATTGTACCCAGATCTGAACAGTTGGAACATGATTTCTCCTTCCAGTTAGTGGCTGCTGTGCACCAGATTTATCTGTGGCCCTTGCTCGAATGTGATGTCTCCCGGTTCGGTGAACTTCCACTTGAAAGGAGAATAGCTGCCACTCAAACTGTTTCCGTGGTGACACAATTGCCTCATCCCAACTGTCTCCATCGAGACTGACTTCAACCCTCACAATCTCGTCTGCCCCCCATGCGCGCCCCCAGCCCTCAATGTACCCGAGGCCGACAATTACATCGTCCGGACGAGGGCGGACAATCATCGAATTTGGCTCAACACTCCAAACGGGTCTTTTCCGGACCCCTTCGGAGTCCGTTGGATCAAGCTCATTATAAAAGATAGTAGTAAATGGCCCTTTCGATCTTGTTGCCTGCACAGATAATCGACACAACCACTTTGTGGAATTCGTCCCAAACCATCCTGGAACAACTAACCTCACTGGTCCACCGCGCTCCTTAGTCAACGGTTGGCCATTCATTTCGTAAGCAACAAGAACTTCGCATGATAAAGCTTTCTTGATGGGTAAGTCCTTTTGGTACCTTTCGGCTGAGACGCCGGCAAATTCGCCAGAGTCCAGCCCATCGGACCAAACAAACAGTCCTCGCTCAAGATCTGGCCGAGCAATGGACAGCAGATAATGCAGCGGGACGCCCGTCCATTTGACATTGCCAATGCGCCAAACATTCTTCGTAGGAGGATTTATGGGGCTGCCGTAGCATTCATGGAAAGAGGTGACTGTCTCGGACGGCATCTTTCGTAATTGATCGAGATTGGTGGAAAAAGGGCGCTCAACAAGCCCGTCTACGATGAGCTTCCAGCGCCCGGTATCCACGACGGCGGCTCCCATGTGAATGGTCTGGAATAACTTTGATTCCGGTGTCAGATCCTCATTAAGTTCTTGGGGTGCAGGGGGATGCCGTATGAAGAAGCCTTTGGGGTTAATGTTGGTGACAGACTTGCGCTCCGAATCGAGAATGAGCCCCCTGCGGTCAATGAAGTCGACAGCAGGTAGGCTGTCATCAGCCATAACTTCGTACATTTTTAGGAAACAAAAACATGCGCTTCTAGAAAGAGAGGAGATATGATCAAGTTCAAGGAAGAATAATGTCGATGATCTTCCCGCTTCACCCGCAATAGCCGCAACCAGATGCAGATGCGCCTTCCCGAAACATGCCCCACGTGGCGTCATGTGAAGAACCTACGTCCTATATTGAGTTGGGGCTTTGTAGCATCGTATGTCTTGTACTTTGCACTTTTCCCTATGCCTTTCTGTTGCATAGAACTTACCATGGAAATTACTTCAGCAAGAGGTACGGCACTCGCAGCGCAGAAACCCGCCTTCCTGGACGTCTTGGGGGATCTGTGGGATGCGCAGTCCAATCCCGAAGGTATAGTCAATCTGGGTCTGGCCGAGAATGTAGGACGAAACTGCAAGGACTTCTTTATGATCTGATCATTAATATTGCTCAGACTCTCATGCATGCAGAGATGATGGAATTTGTCAACAGCAATGTAATGATTGTTTCCATTTCTGCTCTCTCAATACCTCATACTAACGGTCACAGGCCCAATTTGACGCGCATGTATTAACCTACGGGGACGGGTTTAGTGGCTCACATCGGCTTAAAAATGCCATCTGTCAATTTTTGAACCGTTATTTCAGCCCCCAAACCGCATTGTATCCGTGCGACATTGCGGTCACGTCGGGTGTCAGCAACGCACTCGAGTGTTGTGCTTGGGCTTTAGCCGATCCTGGTGACTACATCCTCGTCGGACGCCCCTACTTCAACGCTTTCAAGACTATATTTGGATCACGACCACAGTAAAGAACATCATCCCAATTCCTTCGTGGTTCAAGCGCTGATTGTTACAGGATCGGACTACTTGAAGTCGCCTTCGGCACAACCGACCCATTCAGCATCACCGCTATCAACGAATATGAGCGGACTTATGCAGAGGCGAAAAGGAAAGGCCTCCAAGTCAAGGCTTTACTGCTGTGTTCGCCACATAATCCTCTTGGTAGGTTCCAGTGTCATTCAAGCAAAATAGGACTTACAATTCATTGAACCACTTCCAAGGACGCTGCTACTCCGACGATGCCTTGAAGGAGTATATGAAGTTTTGTTCCAGAAACAGACTTCATTTGATCAGCGATGAAATCTACGCGCAGTCTGTCTGGGGAAATTCGCGCCTTCCTGATGCGCCCACTTTCAAGTCGATATTATCATTCAAGATAGAGGAGATCATAGATCCAAGAATGGTGCATGTTGTTTGGGGGTTAAGCAAAGTTTGACATCTTTTCAGTGATCCCTGTGAGCAATAGTGTCTAATACTGAGCAGGATTATGGTTCAACGGGCTTACGAATCGGATGCTTAATCAGCAAATACAACAGGAAGCTTTTGGACGCAGTAGAAGGGATATCGTAGGGATCTCACAATATGCCTCCTATGGGGACAAATGCTAACCGTTCTCTTTATCTAGTCTTTATAATTTCCCGTCCAGCGTTGCAGACCGCATCGCCTCATCATTACTTACAGATGACAGGTTCTTGGAGGAATACAACTCGACCAACAGGAGTCGGCTAGCAGAAAGCTATCAATTTGCGACAAGGTTTCTTCAGGCCCATAATATTCCCTACGTGGAATGCAATGCTGCCTTTTTTATATGGTTGAACCTGGGGGCTCTGACGAAAAGCCGAACAACCACTGATCAGGACATCCTTGCTAGGCTTAGACAAGAGAAGGTGTACATCGCGCCGGGAAGTATTTATGCTGCAGAAGAAACAGGGTGGTTTCGCATGGTGTTTGCGCATCCGCCACACGTCTTGAAAGAAGGTCTGAGTAGGATGATTCGCGCTGTCCGGTCGGATTGACATGAGCGGGTGTAGGAAAAAAGACTCGTTCATTTAGAATTGCTTCGCACACCGACTCTTAACTATTTAGCTACGAAGTCTGTCGCACGGCAGACTATTCACGAAATGAAGAAGAGGAAGATATCTTTTCAGATGAGATCGATTATATTTAGGCGACCGTCAGCTATGATTGATGAACTGTCCGAGTTTTCGCCATATCCCATCCAATGATTGTGGTGTAAAAATCAATTCTAACACATAGTATAAGGTCATAGAAAAGTAAACACGAATATTTATATTACAAAGGTATAGCAAAAAAGTGACTATAACAACCAGAGAAAGCGGAAAACAAAGATTATGTAATTTTGAAGGCGTCTGGCCAAGCCATGGTCGCTGTACCTAGGCTACCGGCCGAAAGGGCCTCGAGAAATATAGCAGAGGCAGATATTCAGTGAATTATTTCTATCGCTGGTCTCGATACGAGCAAGAGGTCATCTGCCCACTCTGCAACAGCCCGTAGAAGGGTTTCGATCCCCAGGAATACCTAGTTGGCATACTTGCTCCATGAGCGTAGACGCTTTCCATACTATCAAAGAGTTAGCTAAATCTGCATATTTTCTGTAGCCATAAAAGCATCTTACCCGCTCCAGAATAAAAGGTAAGGGAAGCATCGCAACGGAAATGAAGCCCAACGTGCTCGACGACCATCCAATACCGAGCGACTTCAACATCTGCGGAGCAGCCAAAGGTAATGCACCACCGAATGAGCTTCGGAAGAAGGTATTACCTGCAAACACACTTGCTATGTATCTTGGGTAGGACTCTCCGAGGTAATTTAGTACAGACTGAAATGTGAGATAAAAGCCTGGTGCAAAGAAAGCTGTCCCAATAATAGAACGATCCAATGTACGCTAAATCTATGTTAATGCTGGGTTGTGCATATTCAATGGCATTGCATTCACGTGCTTACCTCTCTCGAGATGTCCAGGCGAAAATGAAGAGACAGATCGGAATGCACACTGCTCCGATTTGACCGGGGACTAGACGCGCTTCAGGTTCGACAATGATGTCCGAATTTGCGACCCGTGGCTGGTATGAAAAGTATAACCATAGGACGTATACAATGACGGAAAGTGCGGCACCCACAAGGATACCAAAGAATGCAACTTAAATACAGATTAGATTAGTTTCAAAGAGAGTTTGATTAGAGACTTACGGCCTTGCTGAATATCATTGAAATGGTAGATTCCATCGAACACTATCACCAGTGAGTAATTGCCATGGAAGTAAGGCCAGAATTGGGTTGACCCACCGAATGGGAAGAACTCAAACCATAGGTACAGTATGCCATAGATGAGCATCGTATGCATGTTGACAAATAGGATTACTGGATCCGTGCAAGAGAGTTTGAAGTCATCCACTGTTTGTCTAGCAATGCGCACGGCAAGAGATGCGCCTGGTGTATCTAATTCGGCTTGACTTTGATATGCAGGGTCTCCCGTCTGTCTGCGTAGTCTTTGTGCCCGGCGTAGAAGGATATTGGTGCTCAATGTCTCGGGCAATAAGAAGAATATGAACACTGTCGTAAAGGCTGTGACACCTGAGAGAAGCCACAGAGTCGCAGTCCATGTTTGCCAGCGCTCTCTATATTGTCCATTAGCATCGATATTGCCGGATTGGAGGGATCAACTCTTACATTACCAGAGTCCCGAGTATCTATAGTCACCTAGTTAGCTCATATGCACTAAGTAGCTCGACGGAAAATGACATACCGGCCCTAAAATCGGCCCGCAGACTCCACTGACCGCGTACAGGGCAATCGCATACGGGCACTGGTTAGGCTTGAAGACCTCCATCAGTGTAGCACCTCCCACACTAATAGGCGCACTTCCAACTAGACCTCCAAAAAAGCGCAGGACTAGTATGGTTTGCAGGTTCTTGGCCAGGGCAGTCCCAATATTAAACAGGCAAAATGCAAAAGAGCCGAGAACATATACCGGAGTGCGTCCAATCGAGGGTAAGTTGGACAGAGGAGAAAGCTGGAAGCATCCCGTCATTAGCAAACAAGATAAAGATCATATATGAATGGAAAAAGTCGACGCACAATGAGAGGCCCAATGCCATATGCTATAACGAAAAGGGAGAGTCCCAATGTTCCTTCGGCAGTCGTCGCACCTAAATCCTCCTCAATCAAAGGAATACTCGGCGTGAAGATTGCTGACGCCGCGTAGAAACTGAAGTTCAATAACATCACATCGATCATGGCAACTGTCTTCGCCAACATTGGCCAATTCCTGGGAATGTCTGGATCATCGGGTCCGCTAAAATCCACAAGGATAAGGTCAAGAGCATCTGGAGATGTAGGCGACGGACTCTCGCTCGTTGTCACTTCACTTTTCGACCCGGCATGGTCTGGGGCCCGAAGGAGGTTGCCATTGGAGAGGTAGTTGAGAATTCGGCCGAATGCACTTTCTCGCAATAAGACATCCATGCTGGAGGACACAGTACTCATGTAATGAATGATATGTAGTATGCTGTAAGTTCAGCTGTGGAATATAATAGAAAGTTGTTTTATAGAAACGAGCGACAGATAGAAAGCAATCTTTACATGCTCTATAGTCCATCCATTGAAGTTTTATATATGGATGAGGAACCTACTGCAACTCCGAGGGCAAATAAATCTGTCATCGGAATTCCGAGTGTATAAATGAAATTAAGTTTGTATACTGAAGAGATCTCTTCCGTGGTACAACTCCGAACGGCATTGCTCCGACTAACCGCGGTATCTCCGCGTCATAATGACAGGATCGCATTTACTCACATAGCTTGATATGCTATATTTATCCTCCCTTCTAGATTCTGTGACCACATTTACGTCCCTTTTCATCCTTCGACACCGGCCTGTATCTGAACTCCAACACAACAGTACTACAGTTTTTCGTGCATGGCTCCCCGGTTCATACCCGAGCAGGGCACTGCGCCTAACGTCCCTCGCGATGCTAAACAGACCTACGACACTTTAAAACACGGTGGGGTCGTCATCATCCCAACTGATGTCGGCTACGCGCTCTTGACGAGTACGCAAGCTGGAGTCCAGCGTATATTCTCAGCCAAGGATCGTCGAGAGGGTCACAACATCGGCATAATCGGGACATACAAGCAACATCGAGAGATCCACGTGCTTTCGGAGGCCAAGTTTGAAATGACACGGGTTTTGACAGAAGATATGGCGATGATTGTTGGGATTATTGCTAAATACGATACCGAAAACCTTCACCCGCGTTTGGCAGCTCTCGAACCGGCGACGCTATCGCAAGTCACAAAGGGCGATACGGTCAGCATAGCAGTTCCTGAAGGTCCATTTCTGCGAGAGCTCGGTCGCCTTTGTGATGATGACCCGACGGGTATGTTGACCTTCGGGACTTCTGCCAATTTATCAGGCCAAGGCCAGAGATTTCGGGTTGAGGATATTGAGCCCAAGGTGATCGATGCGGTAGACTTGGTGGTGGATTATGGTCTACAGAAATGGCAAGTGTACAAGCGCGGTGGCATGAATTTCGATGCGGAGAATATGAAGGTGCTGCGGAAAGGAGCCGGGTATGAAGTCTTTCGTGACCGGATGTTGAGATGGTTCCCTCGTTTGTTGGAGGAAGCCGGTGTGACTATGGAGGAGGATCCAGAGTATCAAGCCAGAGACCCGGAAGTGTGACGATATCGGCTTTTCGCGGATTGACCTTGCAACAATGTCGCATGATTGGTGCTTTGATCTAGGGGAGTCATTACGTTGAATGTATATCAATAACTCGTCATACGGAGTGAATAGCAAAGCCTACATTATATATCGCACAATATAGAAGACGTTTAGAGGATAAGGCTCTAAATTAGCATGCAATTCACAATTGGAGACGGGATATTCCTGCTTAGGAGCCATGTATATGGGCACAAACACTGTACAACATCATACCGAACTCATCGACTGTTTGAACCCAGCGTTCGATCCTTCTCCTCCGTTCCGGCTCCTCCTTCTCCGGAGATGGCCATAATTCGGATATCTCCAAGCTTCCATCTTGCCAATTTAAGAGGTATCTATCGTACTCCTTATTCCACGTTTCGCGGTCAGCCGCTTCCCATAGTGCCTTATTGCCCGGTGCATATACGCCTCTGAGCTCCTCTGCGACGAAATTAGGCAGCATACGGTCCGCGTTATAGATGTTGCTAAAGAGATAGAGAGTGAATATTGCACGGCGTTTTGTGGCTGCGACAATCCAGGATTCCCATGTCGGTCTGGTCCGTGCTAACTCGGCATTACAGAAGAGGCCGTTTCGAGCGGTCTGAGATGCCATATCCATGAGGGTTATCATGATTGTGTCTGTGAAACCACCTTGAGGGCCAAAGTAGATCAAGATTGAATAGATGAGGTAGGCTTGAAAGCTAGAGAGGAGCTCGTAGTCATGTTGATTCGGACTCTTTAATCTTGTTACCATCTTTGCTTCATAACATGTGCACTAAGGGATATGCATACCTCACTAGCGAGCCGTTCCATTTCCCGTGCGACCGTGTTCATGACTATCTCCTCACTCCCTGGGACTGCCTGTTCCCACATACGTACCAGGCTGTAGCAATTCGCTAGTGCTCGAGGCGTCTTATTCTCCGCGACCTGAACATGGTGAATAATAGGAGGCGGTCGTCCGTCTCTCAACATATATCGTGGATATGTCTTCAAGATCCGTGCAAGAAATTGCAAGGTATAAGGATGGCAGACTTTTGGAGTTTCACTCCGTCCGTGCGCAGGCAGGAAAAACGGCCTAAGCCACCGGTCGCGAATATCCTCTGCAATAGAGCTCGGGGTCAAATGGATCGCTTCGAAGTTCAGTTCTTTTTCTTTCGACGTTGCTTCGATGGGAGGCTCCTGAGACTGCTGGGTTGGCGGGTCCCATATGATATTGTTGGCAGAAGGACTGGGAGTATATGACAAAGATGGTGGCGTCTGCAACACTCTTGAACTAAATTCTGGGACTGAAGGAGAAGTTACACTTTGACTCTCAAACGAACCGGCTTCTCCACTATGTCCTTCTTGTAGGCGAGAGGAATTTCGCTGCCCCAAAGCCAGAGTCGTAGTACCATAATCGCAGTTTCGGCCGGTCGCCCTGCATCGAGAGCATGCGGGTCGATCTAGAGTGCACCGTACCTTGGACTTAATGCAGTTACTACATGCTTTTCTTCGAGGGGGGCGACTCTGGCTTTTAGCCATTCTTTGTCTGATTTTGATGTAATTCGCACTGTGAGATCTGCGGAGAAGGATATCTCGAAGATAATGAACGAAGTGTAGAATTCATCAGTCATTGCAGAGCAAACTCGATGATCGCCTTCTCCGACCGCAACCCTCGGGTCATCTTAGTAATACACTACGGAAATGTACCACGGCAGAGGATTGGTCAGAATACGAAGCTATTTTGATCACCATGCTCGGAATTCCGAAAGTAGGCCACTTTTCTCTCGGAGTTCCGGCAGGTAATGGCTCCTTTTCGATGTTGTCTACGGATAATCCTGTATGGGGTGGAAGAAAGAACGAAATCACGAGATTAATAATCTATCTTATCCCCATGTTCTTTGGCTCTTGGCAAAGCACTGAATACAGCATCATACGACCTAGGCAGGGCAAAATGTTTGCAAGAGTCCTGCTCAGATATGGAACACAAAGATAGAATTCAAAGCCGAGAATTGTCACCACATAATGTCGCTCTTGTCTTCGCTTTCCTTGTGTACATTCCTGCATTCAAAGGACTCCTAATCTTTGTGACGGTGTCCGAGGCATACACGGGGTATACTGAGACGGGAGTAATTGATGCCAATGACTTCTTGGTCATCAGAGAAGGACTTCTGGTTGACGAAAGATCGCAATAGCATGAAGTAACCAATTATTATTGTTGAAGATAGGGGCTGTTCCGTCCGCCGACCAAGCATGATTAACACATTATCCGGCTAAAATGTTACTCGATAAGGCTTCAGCCTCTCTCCTCCGACAACATCCTCCTCACAAGGAAACAACTTACGGCAGCAAACCTTAAAATTCCCCACGAGCATGGCCGGGCTTCTCTATGGCCCGAGGTTACGGATCATGCCGACGACATCAGAAGCTTTGCTACTGTGACATATACACCCACTTCCAACGAGCTTTGCCGAGAACGAAGTCATTGCATTTGTTCAGATACATCTTCTGACGCTAATAACATATGAAAAAAGAAACTGGTGTAAGTACTGAATAGTCAGATGGACAGGGAGGCAGACGATGACAGTTAGCCTTGAAATTAGATCACGGGTATTGATACCTCCCAAAAAAAATCAGTTTAATATCGTGCAATCATTGAAAGAAACGCCTGCTGGTTTTTTATGTAAGGTCAGCGTGCTAGTCCGAAGTCGTCCCAGTTGATCACGGCTTCCTGTAATTGGTAGGACAAGTAAACTTATATTGGCAATCACACTTTTCGACAATCCAACCTAAAACACAAGTGCGGTATGTGTCCTAGAAGAGGCTAAACTATTCTTACCGCATCACTAAATTCGATAAACCGGGCAGGGCAGCGTGATAGAACAAATATATGCTCTTATTTACTCCATGCCGTCGCCATAGATGGCTCGAGCCTAGATATCACGCCAGGCTACTTGATTTGTAGTCAGTGGATAAAGATCTTTATTGTAGACCGGTCTAGCGAAGCACGCGAAGGATTTACTCGGCAGTTGTGACGTTTCCATAGACACCCCCTAACCCACAAAGAAGGATTAGCCGGCGGAACTTTCCGCCTACTTTCCTATCTTTCCTACTGCCTATCTCCTTCAACCTCTCTTATAGGTCCACCGTGCGAGGAGCTCCTCAAAGATTAATCGGGTCCGTAGGGGACTTAAACCGTGGTGTCCGAAGTATACCCGGATAAATTAGGTAGCTTGGCAGGGCCCGAAGCTTATCGGTGGAAGGTGGAGCTCCGAGTGAGAAGTGGATATGCACTCCGTATCCGTACCTATCTTCAACGGATTAGTGTTTCGGGTTGAAAGTTCTAACCAGTGGCTACATCTTGGCCGGTACCATTTTGGGAAAGCTGTGCGCACTGTAAGCCCGAGGCCCACTGATAAAACCCTTGATGTTTGCGATCGTCTCATAGCTGACAGTGATCGCCTATAATTGGCCGATCCTGACTTGGACCCTGGCGCCAGAACTGTTTGACTAGTTTAGTTTAGGTTGTTTGCATTTATGACCATGTCTATGACCCTCTGCTCTGCTGATTCTTATCTATTGACTTCTTTGTACTGAATAGTGGCGCTACGTATACACACAGGCCTGTTGCATTCTGGCATCGCGTAGAGTAGTGAACATCGGACCTTTTCAATCAAGAACCGGCATCCCAGTGAGCACCGCGAGATCAGCTTCTTCTATCCGGCTATGTGGCAGCACCACCAGTAGCACCGCTGGCTTCGATCTGAGACATCCTCGGAGCGAATTGGTCCTAGCGGGTGACTTAGTTCCTACTTCCGGCTCCTACGCGATGCCCACTCACGATTGTGGCGCTTCAGGGACATGAAGTGTTCCACTACGTTGCAACGCCTGCCACCAATGAATGCTTACGGAAAGAAACACCCCCCACTATAACCAGCCCTATTGTATGTCTGTCGGCTGTCCAACTGCCGGAGAAGAATGAGCCTGATCAGGCTTTTCAAAGGTACAAAGGGATAATAATCTACAATCTCATGGCTCAGAGCGCACTTCTATATTTGAAACACACTTTCGCAGGCACAACAGTAGGCAGCAGAGTTCTATCCACCGTATTGTATAGCTATTTTGGTATACTCTAAGATTTTTGGTGACATAGGCAATCCCACCGTGCATTGGACGGTGGAATAAACTATAGCGGAAAGGGAGACATAATGCCGGCACTGTCTGATCGAGGTGAGCATTTGAAGGATCTCGAAGCCTGAAGGGTTTCGCATTCTCAATTGTGCCAAACGCAAAAGTAAGCTGAAGCAATGGGCTATCGCGACTGTATAGAAACATATTAAAATTAATTGGCCCCCTATTCCTGTATGTACAACTGCAACCAAAGGAAATTTGGATACGACTTGGCATGCGACTGAAGACATTCGAGGCCATATTAAGCTTTGTATCTTTCCTAGCGACCATGCGGTGGTGGATCTCTTGGTCCCTGGTCGTGCCTGTTCCTTCATATCTCGAGACTGCGAAACTAAGGATGGTGCTCCATAGCCCTGTAAGCTCTCGATGATTGGTTTGCACCGGCATCCTAGGCAATTTGGTTAATGTTTCCAAAGTAACATGAAATCAGCCAGGGTACAGTTGCTTTAAACGTACTCCACCTTCCTGTCTGCGGGTGATACAGGGTGCTTGGGGGACATGGATGTTCAGGAAAGATATTTGACCTAAAAACCCCTTTCCTCGTGCCCAGCTGAGAACCATAGACTTATTTATTTATCTGGGGACGACCCTCACTGCTTTCCTAAGTACCACATCACCTTTTGCCTCCTTCTCAAGCTATGTTTTTGAATCTTGCAGCCCTCGCCATCCTCCCCGGCTTGGCCTATGCCTACGCCAACCCTGAGCCGTGCTCGGGTCTATGTGTCATTAGTGACCCTGGTCTTATGCGCCGCGTATCCGATGGCAAATACTTCCGCTTTTCCACAGGTGGTGAGATCACGTATGCCACCTCGGACTCACTGAACGGCCCCTGGGAAGGGGTTGGATCTGTTGTCCCTGCTGGTTCAAAGATCGTCCACCCTGTACGCTACACTACTGTTCGCCTCACATTGCTAATACTCTGCGCCAATACAGGCACCCGATGTTCATTATATCGAACAAACCTACTACGTATTCTATGCGGTCTCCACGTTCGGCACCCAGAATTCTGCCATCGGCCTCGCCACCTCCCCTACCATGGAGCTCAACACCTGGACTGATCACGGATCGATCGGCGTTTCTTCTCACAGTGGCAAGCTCTACAATGCCATTGATCCCAACCTCATCAAAGCTGATGGAGCTTTCTACATGAACTTTGGCTCTTTCTACGACGACCTTTACCAAGTCCCGATGAACGCAGCGGGAACCAAGACTGCTGGCAGCTCTGCATACAACCTTGCCTTCAACTCCACGGGAAGTCAGGCCGAAGAAGGAGCATACATGTACCAGCACGGTAACTACTACTATCTTTTCTTCTCATCGGGTACATGCTGCGGCCTTGATACCAATCGCCCGGCCCCCGGCGAGGAGTATAAGATTATGGTTTGTCGCAGCACCAAGGCTACTGGTGGATTTGTAAGTTTCTCCAGATAAGGATTCTGGTGGTTTGCTCTCTAATGCTGATTCAAAACCAATAGGTCGATAAAGATGGCAATGATTGTCAGGCTAACGGCGGCACTCCCGTTTTGGAAAGTCACGATAACGTCTATGCACCTGGTGGCCAGGGTGTCTTCGATGATCCTGAATACGGACCGATCCTTTACTACCATTATCTCAACACTGACATCGGCTATGCTGATGGCGACAAGCAGTTTGGCTGGAATGTCATTAACTGGTCTGGTGGATGGCCTTCTGTCTAAGCTTCTGCCGTTGCTCTTGAAAAGCAATCTGGTGTGAACTGGCTATTTTCACATAGCGGTGAGTGATTTGCCAGGATGACACTTTTAGTTCTTGTATATGTATTATTAGTGCTTCTCTATTTGAATTACATGTCTAATTAGATTCTGGTTAAACATATTTGTTCCGACCTTTTATATGCCAGATTCCATCTCATAGAGGACTTTGCTTGGCGTTCCAATAATTTAGGACGGCTTCGAATCAGAAATTTCCCCTAGTTGGCTTATCACCACCATTCAATTTCACGGTTACCTGTGACGAAATTTTGTGGGTGTCGCAAAACAGACTATCGGAAACACTGTTATGTTCCGCTGATGACAGAAACTTGACGTTTTGATTTCCCCTTCCAACTCCGTTTCCCTTCCGTCTCTTCTTGAACCCTTGCGTTCTCGATACATCTATCAAACGAATTCGGTGTCACATCGTGGGGACCAGCAGAAGACTCGCCATCATGGACGATGACAAGGTAGATGAAGCTCTGGAAACCTTGCATCAGATCTGCTATCTTCTCTGGAACGCCAAAACTGGCATTATTCCAGCTGAAGAGCTCGCTCGTCTGCCGCTGTCACTTATAACACTTGATCATCAGTCTGTTGTCTCCGGGGTGAACGTGCAATACTTTATTCCGTGGACCGAGAAAGAGCTACAGCATTACGAAAGAAATCTTACGCCCGAGGAGGAAATTGAAAAAATCTCATGTGAGGATCGTATTCTCAAAAACGGATGTCGGATGGGATACACTTTGTCAAGGCCATGGGGGAGCGGTGGGGAATGGGCGGAAACAATGTGTTCACGATTTGTTACGGAAGTGGACATTGCACCCCGAAAAGGCACTGAGAACGATGAGCTGCCCTTGAAAGCGCTAACTGGGTGGAGACATTCCACGTAAGTATATCTCACGGGTTCATTCTTTGGATCTGACTCATGGTTTCATTGAATAGGGCAATCCCTGATGACCCCCCGATTCCACAGCCATGGTTCATACAGAGGGAATGTTACGAATGGGGCCCATGTTGTTACTGGACATTGCGCGGCAATGGACACCCACATGTCAAGGCCTCGATGTTTCATGGTGTTGATGGTGTCGATGGGATGATTTTAAGGGAAGAGGTCATGGTTATCGTCCTTGTGATGATCAGTCGACTGCTGAATGAAAAGTTCGAAAAGCATGCTGTCGTCCCTGTATGCTAACCTCTTCTCCTCTTAAAAGCTTTACCACGCTCCTGTAGTTGCTAATCCGCCCTCCCTCCCAAATTTCAGGTTATGCTGTTCTCATTCCTACGAAACCACCAGGGTCATATTCTCTTCGCTCATTGCCTGGAGAATAAACTCGTTGTCGAGATGTCACCTCTCTATCCTTTCAATGTCGGAGAAGAGGGATGGGATGAATTTTTGACTCTGTTTACGCGCTATCAGGTAGCTAGGCCTTCGTTATTGGACACAACCAATTTCCCAGCGGGAAATGATAATGAAGATCTAGGATGGTTGTTAGTCGATAGTATGTAGTGGTGCAGTCGCTTTTACTGCCACATGGTCTTCATGAGTCCCCATCGCTATTACTACTTCGATTAAGAGAATAAGATAAATCTATGAATTGTCTCCACTACCACTTAGGAGGATTAGGATGTTGGCCACACGGACGACATTACGAACACGTCTTCCAGATAGTTGAGCTACCTTACGAATTAGTAAGTTCGCCGAACTTTTTGTCCTCAAATGTGGGTTCCCCATGCTGCAGTAACTGTTAATCAACGAGTCAACTCACAACGCTTATTCTAGATAGTCGATCGTGGGGTACATAATCCTTTTATGTATGGAGATATGGACGACTATGCGACCCACCTAAACTTGTGTGGGCATGTCCGACCTAGTTGGGGGATTCTTCTTTCAAACTCTACCGACATTGTTAGATTCGGTTCAATAGTCTACTGGGGTCGCTTTTGTGAATAAGATATGTGGTGCAAGTGGATGGAGAAACATACCTTCTATCAAAGCGTTGGATTGTTCCTGATCTCCGGGGAGACTCCACATATATAAATCGGCATAACTTCAGCGGTAAGAACCCTTGGACACTGTCACAGCAAAGACAATGTCCGATTCTGTACCTGGCACGAGTACTAATCGTGACTATGCTTGTCAAGATACAAGGCAGAGATTCTGCGATAGAAATACGCTCAGTAGCACCACACTAAGTCTGTTGAACAACGACGATGCAAATCATCATTTAGCAAGTTGGTTTCCTTTTCAAAAGAAGAGAATGCGCTATATTAGTCTAGTCTAACAAGTAATCTGTCACATACGACCACAGGGTGTGGAAAACAGGGCTTCCCGTCCGCTCAGCCGTACTTAAGCCACACGCCGGGAGGTTAGTAGTTGGGTGGGTGACCACCAGCGAATCCCTTCTGTTGTATGTTTTTCTTTTTTATTTCGCCTGTGAAACCTGCATCACTCCTAAATCAATTCAAAATAAGGAGATTCTCGCTATCTGATTGTTGCTTAAAGTCGTGGCTTAGGAAACCGGCGGGCCGAGCATTCCTAAGAACTCACCCCGTGTGAGTTTGGTATTCCCGAGGTGACAGTGTGCTCGAATGCCATCACCATCCATTTTCTGACACATGGTAGTTCAAATCACGTTGTTGTGCATGTTCCTTGTCTATGAACGCTCTGTACCGACAGTGTCGATATATGCGAAGTAGATCAAGCCAATAATGCAGCCAGTAATAATACTCATTGCTTCAGGCGACAAATCAAGTCCAGGATCAACTCGATCAGCTTCCATGCCCTTGCGCGTTGCCCAAGACCGTAGCAAAAGATGAACCAGAAACTTCTTGTTCCATATGAATGAAATTGAGAGTACAAATTGATACTATTCACCGTCAGAGAAGCGGGCAGATGCAGACGATCTGGTCAGACACAGCTGGTCAGACACAGCTGGTCAGAGAAGCGGAAGGATGCAGACGATTTGGTCAGAAATAGTTTGTCGGAGTAAGCTATTAGTGAGAAGAAGGACAATGCTGGTACAATGAATGTGGGATGAGCCACTTGACGTCTGATAGCCTAAGAGGAATGGGAGCAAGGCTGGGCGGATACTGTGCAGACTGTACACATCATATCATCATTTCAAATGATTGACCAGAAGAGAATTTCCAATCATGTGGAGGCTGCTTTGTTGGCGTTTCTTGCTGTAGCGTAATGCTCCCAACTAATCTAAGTGTTTGCCGTGGATCTTTAAAGCGTGCTAACAAAACGGGAACAGGGCATTGGCCATGATTCCTGGACAAACTAATGTAGAGATTTGAGTTTACCCGACGGCTCAACAAAGAAGAAAAGGGGGAAACAAATCAAAGAAGTAAAATCGTAGTAGTCTTCGCCTCTTAACCTATTTCTAGAGAAGGGTAACCTCCCCCCTTCCAGTACCACTGTCAACTACATCTTCAAAGTAGCAGTTCATGCTATGGGGCCCGTGCCAATTGTTCTCATCACTGGTATACTTCTCATGCCTCAGAAGTCGACAGCTCTTGTAAGCTCACGAGCAAAAATAGGTGCCAACCGTGGCCTCGGCTTCGCCACCGCCAAAGAGCTTCTCTCCACCACTAACTTCCACATCATCGTGGGGAGCCGTCATTCTTCGAATGGGAACCTGGCCATCCAGGCTCTCCGCGCCCTGCCGGGAATCCAGGGAACAGTGTCGACAGTGACCCTAGACGTGACCTCTGGAACCTCAATCGAGGCCGCCAGGTCTCAAATTGAGACAGACTTCGGGCGACTCGACATCCTTGTCCACAACGCGGGCATCTATCATCTTCCTTCGAAACCGTCAGTTTCGCATGTCGATGGCAAGATACTTGATTCGACCCTGGAAGCAAATGTCAAGGGTCCAGCCCGTGTGACGAAAGCATTTCTTCCCCTTCTCCTGAGGCACAGGCCCTCGACGGATGTGAGCTCTCCTCCTCGAATCGTCTTCGTCAGCTCCTCCATGGGCTCTCTGAGCCACAACATGAACCGGAACTCTAGTGGAACCCATGCTATCGAGTATCGCATCAGCAAGACAGCTTTGCATATGCTACTGGTCGAGTATCATATGGCGCTGACTGGCGTGACAGTCGTTGGGTCGACCCTGGGTTCTGCGCCACGGATATTATCGGAGACGCGGAAGCGCTGCAAAAGATGGGGGCAGTGGAGCCTGGCGTAGGGGCCCGAATAATCGTCGAGGTATTGAAAGGCAGTAAAGATGATCAACCCGGCAGAGTCCATGGTGCGGAGTGAGCAGTGCCATGGTAAAAGTGAACCATTTTGGATCGACTCGAGCCTCTCTCCGGTCCAATTAATTCTACTCCTGCTGCTGTTGTTCATTTCACAAAGCTTCACAGTCCTCTTACTCTGCTATGGTCCTATAAAATCAAGCAATATTACCTTAACTGCTTTCACTTGAACAGCCCCTTCCCAGCAAGAAGCTGTTCCAAGACTTCAATCCTCCTGCGCTTCAGAGAGGTAAAGACGTGGTTGCCCTCGCCCATGTATAGGCTTTTGGCGGGTAATATCAATGAATCTCGCTAATAACGATGGACGGTAGTTACGCTCTACATGATCATGATTCCTGTGCCCGCTGTGCTCACACATGGGGTGATGTCTCTGTTACCTATTCAATACAATGAATCTAAACGATATCCCTAAGTTGCATATTGTTATTGTTCAATATATCATGAAGTCTCCTACAATGCTACAGCTTCATCCACTACATCAATTGTGCCTTTCGGAGTCTCTCTCCAACTGATCAATAGATGTGGCCTGCAGATTGGTCGTAATCGATGATATGTCTGACAAGATTTTGTAAGCAAGCAATGCGATTCGCAAAGTCCCCTGGGCGTTGTCGGCGAATTATTGCCCCGGGAACTGGACCAAGTGGACTGCCCTCCACACTTCTGCATCTAGAAAAGAGGGTGATAATGAATACAACATTCAAATAAAAGGACTTTACTGCTATATTAAGCTCACGCAAGATGAATCTCGCACATACGACCATAGGGTGTGGAAAATAGGGCTTCCCGTCCGCTCAGCCGTACTCAAGCCACACGCCGGGAGGTTAGTAGTTGGGTGGGTGACCACCAGCGAATCCCTTCTGTTGTATGTTTTTATTGATAAATCTTTTGGTACTCTTTCCTTTGATTTTCGCAAGTAATAATAAACTTTCTTAGAAATTTCTAATCGCACTAAGTGAATGAAGAATGATGTGCATTGTGGACGGTGTGGTGATGAGTAAAAGGACACTGGTCATAAATAGGGATTCAAATTTCACCAAAATGAGGTCCTGGTGATCATTATCATGGTAAATTATGAGAATAACGTATTCCTACTTCGCTACTGCCTCCGGCAAGTCAGATTTAAATTAAGGGCTTGGCTATGTAGCAAAATAACGCAAAAATAGATTGCAGAGCTCATCCTGAATTGGCTAACCGGATATTGCTGGCTTATACCCATGCACTAGGTTCCCGATATTCTTGTTCGCCCACACTGAAGGAACTCTGTATATGCTCTAGCATAACCTCTATTTATTTCAGGGCGTCTCAACGAACACTATACATAAAACATAGGAAGTATGTTTTTGGGCAGCTGTGTTGGCTTCCATAGTTGTGTTGCTCACAGGGATTTCATCATCACGTGCCTTAAACAGGTGTCGTGGTTTGGATCATCGGTGTCTTCTGCCGGCGAGTGCTGTTAAAAACAAGCTTCATGGTCGGAATAGTCGTGATCATAAAGAGCAGCCATTCTAATGCGCCGAAGACTATTGCAGCCTTGAGCAACACACAGTCATTCTCTTCCGCCGGACATGGATTACTCCCCACATTAACCGCCACGGCAATGAAACCCGCGAGCCATGAGAGAAGAGCCACAACCTCAACAATGACAGAAACAGAGCCAATCACTGCATGCTCTGCGAAGCTGACCCCAGCAGTGAAGAACAGAAAGATAACGCCCAGAAATGTCCACCCAGCACAAAACATCAAGAAGCCCCACTCGTCAGGGACGCCGGCGTAAGCGTAGAAGTTGCCGTATACGAAGTGCACGTAGTCAGTGTGGCCGCGATAAACGTGGATAGCTAGGTGATGGTAGTCAGAATAATTGGATGTCTTGATGGAGTAGGATGCATTGGTGGGTTAATACCGTAGCCGTCTGTACCCATGACGATGGTGGCGAAGATGAGCTGCAGCGCTCGCAGGGTAACGTCGACCGTTCTATTCGCCGCTATGTTTATCGCCATTTTCTGGGCCATGATATGCAACGCTCTGTGATTGAGTCTAGAGCGGTGATTAAAAACGTCGAGTTAACTAAGAATTGAGGAATACGGCGTAGACGAAGAGATAGAGATCGTAGACTCAGGGAGCGGGATGCGGTCCTCTTAATAACCTGCCCTGGCAGTCAGCCAGCCAGTAATCTAGACTTAGAATTATATTGGTGCCTGAAGCGATCTAGCTTGTTTGACTATATTGCTAAAAGCCATCCCAGTTTCTCTCCTGCCTTTTTGATGTCATTCTCATGCATCCCGCAACGATATTGACGGAAATGAGGGCGCTGCGGCGGGGCCAAGCCAAGTCAAAATCTGACCATACTCGATTTAGGACTAGAGGAAGCGTAAGCAAGCCTAGGCTACCGACTAATATATCATACAGACCAATAAGCATCGATAAGCTGTAAAAAGACCGAGATGGTCTCCACTCATGCATCCCTCGAGTCTTTACTTAATCCGGTTTAGCAGCAACAAACACCGAGCTGAGCTCCACCAGCACTACAACGGCGAATGGAAGGCATCAATCAGACTCCCGTGGGATGCTAGATAAAAGACCCGACATCGAGATAATACATTGCCCATGCACACGTAAGGCCAATAAATCACCACCCGATTCAAAACAGATAATATGTGGTTCTGAATGGATATTGTTATGCATTCGGCACAGGACTAGGAAGGGGTCAGGGATGCGAGCAGCTTAGCGAGAGTTTGATGGGTCTCTCCATACACATATAGCGAACAGCCGCTTCTGTGCACAATTGAGCTAATAAATATCTTACATCTCGATAGTTTCTGACCAGTACATCCAACCATCCTGGCAGGAATAATCAGTATGTCCCCACCCTTGCATGAGAGGGGGGTTAGGCCGCTGGAAAATAACTTCTACGACGCGGCGGCTGTCTCCCAAGGAGTTTGGAGACACCGAGTAACCGTACACTCTCTCTCCTTCGACAATGTCGCAGGCAGCCGGAGGAGCGCTGGGAGAAGAAGGAACACTGGAAGACGTCTCTAGGGCGGCCAGTCGAGCACCGATGGCCGCCAGGATTCGTCCATCGGCAGGCCCCTCGCGGCTTTGTTCGTTAAGTAAAGTCGTCGCTAAAGCACGCAGTGACGGATTTCTGCACTTGATGCTCACGATGAAGAGGGGGCTAACAATTCCCGGGCGCGTTGAGAAGCGTTTGAAAGCACTGGGTTTGGTCCGCCGCCTAAGCCGCGCCGACGCGGCAGCATCACTTATTATGCTTTGAAATTGGTCATGATGTTCATCGTACGCAGTTTCGTACGGGCTGTGAGCACACAAGATGAAAATTAACGCCGATGTTAGCTGTGTCCGAATCGCATAAATCTCAGCTAGCATGTCTAAATTCCTCGGCGTCGGCGTCGCGGACGAACAGCGGGCTTGCAGCGTCGTGGCGAGCGCTGCAAGGCAATTAAGAACAAAATGACAATCAGCCGCCGCATCAGATTGAGCCTTACACATGGTGGGATCATGCTCTTTCCAGTTAGTATACGTGTATCGCAAGTGTGAAGCCTGCTCAATGAACTGATAGGATCGATAAAGGCAGTGCATTGCGGCGTCAATCGCAAGCTCTGGTTCACAGAACGCATCTTCTCCAGTCGGTACTCTGGGAAAGTCCAGGTACATATATTGCGGTGTCTGGGACAAACCGTAGCTGCCAATGAGGAGGTTTATCTTTACTAGTGCATCTTTGATTGTACTGAGAATGTCGGCAGATGAAGCTTGCCAACGACGCTGCTCGGCCTTTGTCAGGATCTGTACGGCCCCAAGGAAATGAGTGAACGCATTTTGCTCGTGTTGGCTTAGGATCTCGACGTAGGCTAGGACCATGGATGCCAGAGCCAGCGACTCTGCACCGACGCTCCCATTGTGAAAATCAGATCGCAGCCTTGCCAGAGCTGAGCCATAATAGTTCCAGGTGGAGTAGGGCCGATGGCCGATCAAATTTATCTGCGATGATTCATACGCCGCCCCGAAAGCGACTGCGGCGGCCTTGACACATTCGACCTGACTCGATAGCTGGAGAAATATACGCCCCCAAGCACTATCTTCTCGCGGAGAACAGCCTCTGTTATCTAGAGACAACACATGAGCTGCAAGATAGCTTAACCTTTCCGCATGGCTGTCCATTGTGACCCCACATTTCAAAGCAGGTTGCAAAGCTGATGACAATGATGACTTGGTTTCATGGCTGTAACCGCCGCACACTCGACCAGCTTGAAGGCATCGCCGACACAGGGGCTTTTGCTCGTCGCACTTGACCCGACGTGCCCTGCATCTTGGTCAGTCGACTTTGTGCCATGATGGCAAGATGAAGACCATGCCATACTTGCAAGTCACGCAGCCTCGTTTTGATTGCGAAACAACGACGCGGACCCGCTTTGATGAGGGAGCGGATGAGTTATTGCCGGATCGCGGAGCTGTAGAGAGGCTATTATTATTCGAGAGCCCCTCCATGATTGCCGCAAAGCTGATGTTGACCAATGTAAAGAAGACAGTATTGGTCCATCAGCCGTGGCTGGGTTTAGTGCATCCTCGGACCGGAATAACGCCGGATCCAACCCAACCCTTAGTGCTTACTTGACAAGCAACTTTCGTCTTCTGACCGGACTCTCTGACATATCCGAAGTCATCAATAGAAGTCACCGCTGCCAACGAAACTTCTCTGAATAACAACTTAAATTCATCTAGGCAACGGAGGTGTTAATATCACGTAGACATCATGTGAAGTCTGTGACAGCATATCCCGCTGGCTAGAGTGTTGGTGATCAATCTGGGGGTGGGGTCCCTTGTCAACTGCTTAAGCCGTTCTAGACTCAACCTTAATTTTCCCAGATGGTCCCAAGGGTTGCATTGGATCATCCCTTCCTTTGTCTCCCTCTCCACC